TAAGGAACTAGGAGGGGAGGTGGGGTGGGGAATTAACGTGACACACCGTTCTACTTCACTTGATTTTTGAGATTAATATTAAATAGTCCCGACTCAGTGGGTGTGGGACTACTGGATATTAATTCACAGCTTCATTTTCTAATTAATAAATATTTTCCAGATTTCTTAGTGAAATAATATTTCTCATGTTCAGTGTTTGTCGACCCGTTAATTGATTTGGAATCTTGGTAATGCCACTTGAGTACATACATGAAACTAGATTTGTGGGATTCTAAAACCAAGTTTAGCCAATTGGAAAGCCCATTGCTCCAGCTGTTTATCAGTCAATAAGCTGTAGAGTTTATTTATTTATCCCTAATGACAGGCATTTTGATAGTTATCACTAGCCTTTTAGCTGACTTCGGGCTTCACAGAGAGGAGAAGGAACATCAAAGTGACAAAAGTGGAGAGAGGGGGACAGAATAAGGATTCACAGATATAAAAGAGACAGAAAGGCCCAAAGGCAGGGAAAAGGTAAGATGAGTACTGTAATAGGGGTCGAAAATGACACAGTCGGGTCATGGTAGTTTGAAACCAGTTAATAGACTTTTTTGCCCTATGAGTATACGTTGCCCAGAGTGCACCACGTGGAGGTAAGTCCTTCGCGCACCCCATAAGTTGTAAGGTAGAATATTGTGAAATAAAAATCTTTTCAGCTGCTGCCTTAGATTTTAAAATAGCACTGCTGAGGAATTTATAAACGCAAAGCGTAGTAAATCAGAGTGAGGCGCATTGAAATGCAATGTCGTGGAAATGACAATTTTTTTTAACATTGGTTTGTTTTCAACCAAACCTGGACTCGAGATGATTGAAATATTACTAAAAGTACTTACAAATACATTAAAGTGAAGGGGAATACGCTTTTAACCTCATGTAGGTTGCCTTGCCTCTAGTTTTTCTCCAATTGGCTACTTCTTTTAACCTAATTTCCTTCCACGAAAGCAAAATCATGTGCTCTAGCCATTATCTCTCTCAGTTTCGCATTGGAGGAAAAAGCCAGCAAACATTGAATTGATTACTTAATTAAAACAAAAGCACATTATATTGCATGCTTGCATTTTTACTGTTTATGTTCAAATAATTAGGTGAATTAGAGGTACCTATATTTGACTGATTTTAATTAAAGCAGTACAGAATTGCAATTCACTTAATACACTTAATAATTTGAATGTAAAATACGGAAAGTTAATTTTCTGTTAATTTTGACTTGTTTACTGACATTGGGCCTTCCAAATTAAGGTTCTTCTGGAATTGGCCCGTTTGATCTTCGCCGATCAATCAGATATCACTCGACTGATTTACACGATCCTAATGCACAGTCAATCTCTCCTCACTTGTCAACGTTGTCAAATTCTCCTCGTCAGTGACCTCAAGGATGATACAGTAAGTGCATAATTAAACTCTAAAAACTTAATACCGTTTATCCAATTTGGTAATATTATGATCCGCTGATGCTGTTGCGAAGTGGAGATAATCTTTTTAATGTTCTTTGCAATATCACTTCTATGCCTCGTGACGTTTGGTTTTTTTTCGTTTGCGGTTTTAACCAGCATAAATCATCATTGACTCCTTCAGATACAGTCCAAAAACAGCTGCTAAAATTGTTAATTACTTGTTAACTACACGTATAGACCCACGTAGTTGGGGTGTCATAATTTAATACGCCTTCAAATGATGCTATTTATTTACGCTATTGGTCTAGACACGATAATTGGTGAGAGTATAAAAGCTTTCGTTTGATCAGGAGGTTAACTTAACCTAGCAACCGAATGCGAATGAATTAGAAAAATGGGGAAATGCTGCCATTCTAAGTGGAAAAAGATCCAATAAACGAATGAAAAATGAAAGGTTATCAATCGGTTGCTAATTTACTCTGATCTATTTTAATTACTTGAATATTTTACCCCGGATCTGCCATAGAACTGAGTATTTAGATTTAAGCTTACTATAACTTTGTTTTTTTCAATGTCTGCAAGTGTCTGCTTTTTTTTTCGAATTATTTCTTAAAATAGATTCTGCCTTTTTAAAAAAAAGTTAAATACACTTGACTTCTGACACCGAATCAGATATGCACTTTCATTTTATTCGTGGCCTTGAGGGGTCATGCTGATCTTATGGGTCTTCATATGTCAATTTCTCGCTTCCCAGCGTAGAATTTTAATTTAAATCACAAATGTGTTTATATATATTGCATTTTAAATGCATACATGTACAGCGCTATTTGGAATAAAACTAGCATTGTTAAGAAATTAAAGCAAAAATGTTTCATTTTATTAGAAATACCCCTTTCTTTTCAGTAAATAGTTTTTATTTTCACCAAAAATAGCCTTTTTTCATATTGATTTTCTGAAAATCTACACTTATTATTGTTAATTATTGCATTGTATATCTATTAAAGTCTCATAAATTTAAATTTGTAAATACTTAAAATAGCAACATTTATCTTCATCAGAATTGCTACTTGTTGTGCATGGCTCTTTAATTTTTGAGAATATTTCGATTTAAGCGGGAGGGGGGGGGGTAGTTCGACTCTAAAAGTGGAAAGGAAGAGGAGGAAGGAGGCGAAAAATTGTATGTCCGTTTTTTCCTCTACTACACGCGCACATTTCGTATTCAATATTCGAATGAAAAAAGACCAACTTTATGCTTTCTATCTCAACTCGGTCTCTCGATGCAGGTTAAATAGAAGTTTCCGAAAGGTGATAGACTAATACGGACTAATAGTTGAAATGAAAGCGGAAAAGATTCACATTTGGGCAATCCCACCACCTCAAACTCCTTTTTATAAGTAAAATGAAATTAATTGCGAATAGAGAAACGTGATTAGCTTCAGTGTTACTGACTTCACCGACTCAACTATTTAAATTTCAAAGTTTGATTATGTAGTGCTTATGAAATAGCAGCGTAACTAAAAACGCACGATTTCTATTGTATTTTAATATTTATTTATTTATATCAAATGGCAGGCGTTTTGATAGTTATCATTAGCCCTTTAGTTGACTTCAGGCTTCACAGATTGGAAGGAACATCAAAGTGAAAAAGATCGAGATGGGGGGGGGGGACAGAAGAGTGTTTCAAAGATGTAAAAGAGACAGACACAAAGTTGGAAAAAGGTGAGGTGAGTACGGTTGAAGTAGTCGAATTTGACATACAGTGGGGGTGAGGTAGTTTGGAGTCTGAAGTCAACTGCCAGTTAATAGACTTTTTTTGCCGTATGAGTATACGTTGCCCAGAGTGCACCACGTGGAGGTAAGTCAAACCTTCTAAATCCATGTTTCGATTGGCTCCAAAATCATTCGATTGGTCTTTGAAGCTTTTTAGAATGTGCTAACACATTCGATGTCTACTCCATAAACTATAATGGTCATTTTATGTTTATTTTTGATCATGGGTTTGTTTGTTTTCAGTTTTTTATAAAAAAATTCGATGTCCTGTGGTTTAATATACATGGAGGAATTCCATGGGTTACTTATATTAACAGCTTGTGTCACCAAGGCATGTTATTGGTTTCATTGAAGCGAGCTATTTTTTTTCATTTTTTTTGCGTACTCTATTTCCAGCCCGATTCCGACGTCTTCGACGAAGCCTACGATTATACGTGGAAGGATCAAGAATCGGCATTTGATGAAATTCTGCAACGAAAGCATGGGTGAGTGAATTTTTTGACATCAGGTGATGCCCTGAATTTTATCAAGTGCCATCTTGGTTGAGCGTTGTTCTGGCTTTGCGAAGATTGAAATGTGACACACGTTGTGAAATTTTGGAAGCATGTCAAAATCACTAGTCCTTTGTGCTTAAGCATCGGAGCTAGGGGTGCTCTGGATGTCCTTTTTCTCTGAACTTTCAACTAAAACTATAATTTACACGCCAATTAGCCACAGTTCCATAGACATTCAACCTTCAGTTTCTAATTCAGGCCACATTCAAATTGTCATTTGAGTTGCTCTGAGCTGAGTTTTCAGCAATCTGATGCGGCCTATGTGCTAATCGTGCACCGCGTAAAGAGAATTGCTTCCTTCTTTTCGATCACGATTAGGTCTATTCAATTAAGCGATAGATCTTTCAAACACATTCCCTCTGATTACCTTCAACACTTATCTTGTGTTTTATTTTAAATTTACACAATTGTTAGGATCTTTCTTTGGGCTGTTAAGATCCACTTTAAAACATAACCTTGTTTCCAACTTGGCTTTGCCATTTTGAAGCTTCCATTGGGATGGAAGTTGGATTTATTTTCGCGTTATAAGGGGACAGCACAGTGTTAGCTCAATAACTTGTTTGTAGTGATTTATCGACCTGTCAGTGTTGAACGCGTTACTTGCGATTTTATAAAACGCGTTTTTGGTGGCTAAAGAGATGCGTATCTACGCGTCTTAGCCTAATTACTCACTCACCAGTAATGCCCCCACCCTCTATTTCATTTTTAATATTTTATTCAATGATTTATTGCAAGTTTTCGTAATCTTTTCCCCCCAAACGAATGCATTTCAAATTGTATTTGAGCTAAAAATTATAACGTTTATATAATGAACAAAGGCAATCGATTTGATTTTAATATGTATGGGTCACAAGAATTTTCTCGAAAAAAATTGAAACCTTGTGAGTTGGTTATCGAAGTGTACTGCGAGGACTTTTAATAATTGTTGTGAACTATTGGCTGCCCACTATACTGTTAGTAGCAATATTTGGTATTTAGTACTTTTAAATTGAAATATAATATTAGGTTTACGTTTATCTGTTTAAGCAGGGAGCTCCTTCAAATTCAATACCATCTATGTATGCACAAATTGAAAGAAATAACTACATAAATGTGCGAAATTTGCATAAAAATCATACCTTTTAAGCGAATGTTTCTTCATGGTGATATTTGTTTATTTATATCAAGTGGCAGGTTTTATGTTAGGTATTACCAGCCCTTTAGTTGATTTCGGGCTTCACAGAGAGGAGGAACATCAGTGTCACAAAAAGTTGAGAGAGAGAGAGGCAACGTTGGAGTGTTTCACAGATGTAAGTGGCAGACTCAACCGTAGAGAAAAGGGAACTGTAAGTACTTGGGAAGTGGTCGAATACGACATGCAGTGCGGTCATGACTGCTTGAAGTCAGATGTCAACTATCGGTTTATAGACTTTTTTACAGTATGATAATATGTTTCCCACGTGGAGCTAAGTCTTTCCTTACGGTAATATAAAATATGCCCTATTTTTTCATTAACCATAATCTGAAAGATTGGCACTTATCTCGTGAGAAAATTCTCTTCTCCTACTTCCTTATTGAGTTAGGCACTTCATTCAGTGGGTGCGTATCGATGGTATTGAAATTGACATCTTAAGGGAGAAAGATAACAACTGCGCCGCTATACATTGCGAATAATCATTTTATGCATGCAATTTCATAGGAGGTCATGCGTCTTTGGCAATGAAGTTCGTTTTAACGCTCAAAATTTGCCAAAAATAACCTGATTTATTAATCAGTTGTCGGGGTATGAAACTCATATTTAGACAAACAGTCAAAATTGTAACAATGTGCTCTAGTTATGTATTATTTCATACTAAGTACAACAGTATTTTGAGTTATTATTCCGTAGGTGGGAATGGGGGGGGGGTGGTGGCGGAGGGGGACGTCATTCGAGGTAAAAGGTCACGTGCGCGCAAATTGTTTGCCTCGCTAAAAGTCGAAATTGTGGGAAAATTAAACGCCACAGATACTAAATTTACGTTATTCAGTTTAAGATAATAATGACCTTGAATTCAAGGTGCATTTGCTGATATTATGCTAAACTATTTAAGTAAAACCATATTTCACTTTAAGTGGAATATCAAAATGAGGCGCGAATTTCCGGTCAAATTTATTCAACTGCACAGTGACAAAGGTAGTTTAATGTTTGGTTTAAAATTGGGAATGGCACTAGAGACATCAATCGTGTTTATGCAAATTCTCAACCCTATTAAAATTTTTCGTAATGTTCTTTATTCACCCTCGAGAAAATCACATTTGCAATCACGTGAAATGTTTCAAAGACTTACTCATTTTGGGGGTGTTTTACAAATTCAGTTATGCTAAAATTTTCATTGGCACTTTGAGCCACCTTCGAAAGCTAATTTTGATCTGATTCAAAGTACGGATCACAAAGTTTGAGATACTTAGAAAATCACGTGCAATCAGACCTCCTGTTACGATGCTGGGAACATTATCAACTTCTTGCCAACATCCATTCCAATCTCCCTAATGCAGTGTCTTACAGCTAATTGGGTGCATTCTAATTCTAACCCTTGAACACATTCTTGCATTTCATATTGTTTTTTATAAATTAATATGTTCTAAAAAGGTTAATTAGATCAATTTTCGGAACGCAGTTTTATTACTAATTGTCTGTTAGAAATATTTATTAACCAATAATTTTAATGCATTTTCGAAGTTCTTAGGCACAGTTTTTAAACTTATTCAAATCCTATTAAACGCCATCTCACTTACTGGAATTAAAAAGGGCATAATTATTAATTTCCATTGTCTTTATTGACTTTATTTATAGTTAATTGTTGAAGGGGGGGGGGAAATGTTCTATTTATGCTTTGTTATGTTTGTCTTTTAGCCATTATAGATCCTTTGGCCTGCTTTGCATTTTGTTTAAGGTTATCTAGAGCCAACGCGCTATTATGACTTTTGAAATAATGGCCTAGTGACCTTTGAATTATTTATCTCTTAAGTAATTGTGTGTTCAATAGTGTCTTCCACCTCTTTTACCTTTGGAAGGCAAAAAACACTACGTAAAAAAGTGCTTTCAATGCACCTTTCAATCTTACTTGACACCTATCATTTCATAAACATGAACAATCATTTTCTTAGTTCGTTTTGGTATTTCCTGCATTTAAAGCTATGAAATGAAGCAGAAGAAAACTTGTTGTACTGAAAGTCTATGAAGCAAGAGGGGATTCAAGAAGGCATCGCTAATAATTTCATGATATCAGCGAGTTTAACCTAATTTGACCTTGAGATTCTGGTTGAAAAATATTTTCCATCTGCCTGCGTGGCGTTCTAAAGTTCTAATTTCTCAGGCTTCTTTCTTCTCTGCCTCTGTTTATCTTAGTCTGCTTTTATGCTTCTGTTTGCATTTGAAAGGGATTCTGATGTTATCAGGACATTTTCCTGCAAGCTACTTAATTCCAAGCACTGAAAGGCTCTACATTATGCATAATCAGCTCTCGGGCTCGGCTATTCCAATGCTATTACATTTAAATAAGTTCAATAAAATAATTATGCACACTTAGTATGTTGGTGTCCTGTTTATAACAATGCTTGTTTTTATTTCAGTTTTTGCTATCTTTCTCTTTAAATTTTTTGTCCCAAAAAATGTATGAACACTTAAAACAATTGTAAACATTGTGTTTAGTATCATGATTTCTTTTAAGCTATTTGGTTACCTTAACCGCCATAATTGTATCTGAGGATCCACGCGTTACTGTCGACCGTCATGTCAACTTACCTGGAATTACAGCGTGGTGTCCGTTTATCATCAAGAGGATTAATTGGACCGTTCTTTTTTGACACCACTGTAACTGGTCCCATTCACTGGAACTTTTTTGC